AGTGGTTCCCCATTGAGGATAAACTCAAGGAGGCGTGTACTTGGCCGGATAGCCCAGGCAGCTAAGGCCATTCAAAGTGAAAGGAAGAAGAAAGAAGAAGTATCACTTGCCGCTTAAAATATGCATTTTTACATTTTATGAAATAACTAATTTCACAAAAATTGTGATTGATTTCGTTTTTGTTCGTCTTGTTATCGACTATGTCATTATTGTCTTATATAATTTTATCATTACTAACATGATTGTGAAACAACCTCACCAAAGATGTAAGTTAATTATACTTTATATAATCAATGTGACCTAGTGGTCATTTTATTTTAGTATCTCTGATGATGGAAATTCAATATTCCGAAAGCTAGGACTACTACATGATCAAATATATTCAAATTATTCTTATATATCGCCTTCTTCGATATATACGTCGGTGAACCAAACACCCATACTCGAATACATATTTTACAATTACGATAAATTCATAATCGCAGAGAAATACTTCAAAAATAAAAGAATATTTTCTTGAGATCTGAACATTCAATCTTTATTTAAATAATTCAATTATTTTATACAATGAATTGAAATGTTTCACTTGTACATGGGAGTAATGTATGATTGACATGTAATTTCTTCACTTTGATAATATTGATTTCTTGTTTCAATGATAGCGTAATTTCTGACTGTGAAAAGAATCTGCTTGGACTAACAGATATTGTTATCAACCAAAGATGTCGAATTATTTGGGAGAAGAAAGAAACGTCATCTCAACAAGGATGAGGAGACTATAGTGAGTATACACTGTACCGCACTTTCAAAGTTATCCTCATTATCATCACAGGAAGTAGTTGTAGTTCCAATACCACGAATCCCAAATATACGGTGTGTCCATTTATAAAAGCGGGACGACTCGAAGATGAGTTTTTTCAAATAGAACACCCAGTATTTTTTATTCAAAATTTATTCCGCTAAGGTTTAGCTCTATATCGCTGAAAAAAATTTAATTTGGTTGCGGCAAACCCATTTTTACTACTTATGAAGGGTCATGTTGAATTGGGTATAGTATATTCATCTAAAAGAATTTCTAAAATATTTTTGGCATACAGTAGTAGCAAGGTCTCAACGTACACCAATCCAGTAATTTTGCGAGACAATCCTTCACAGGATGCTAAAATTTACATTCTGAATATTGTAAGATTCTAGTGGAGCCCGCGAGAGTCTCGTTTTCGAGAATGAATAATTTCCCTATATTTATCATTATCTCAGGCCACTTATGAGGCAAGATTCCTTTATTTGATACGAGTGTGGAAATATTGTTTGCCACATGACATCCGAGGTTCTACATAGATCATTCAGGTATTTTTGCGATATGTGCATTGTCCAAATTTATAATATTCCGTAATCTTGTTACTTATAATTCAAATAATATGTACCCATTTGAAACAAACAAACATGCCAAAAGCAACGCCTGCCTTTGAAACAACTTCTACAATACAAACAATGGAGATTTGGATTGCGAGAATGAGGATTTTTTTTTAAAATTTGGGCCACTCTTATTGTCGTTATTCCCACAATCCAAATCTCCATATAACTTGAAGGAGGTGAACATAATGATACAAACAATATTTTTACTACGCGGGTTTCGGGAAGGAATTCAGCAAGATTTTAAATAAAATCAAGATATATTTGATTGTGGTGATGGTTGACACGTCATTAAACGAATATAACTGTATTTAGAAAAATTAATTCGTAGTCTGCAAAAAAACTGTGAGAGTAGCATTTTGGATAAATTTGTCAAAACCCACTCTGTTTTATATTCAAACTTGGAGAGCCTGTGAATGTTCCTATTGTAAAAAAATATATGAATGGTCAATGAAGAAATTCGATTATACCGTATAGCAACGCAATATTTCCACAATACAAATGAATGAAAAAACTATGACGTACAAATTATCCCACAATAGTATCAAAAATAAGGAAATTATCCATGACTTGACAATGCCGCAACCAATTTCGTTGTTTTTTTTTTTCAGCGATAAAAAGGCGAAAGATGTCGGAATGAATTAGTGGATAAAAATACAGGGTGTTTCATTTGAAAAATTTCAATGAATGTCATCTGAATCTTGCAAAATTTTAAATTCAAAATTGAGCACTCTGTTAAAGAAGATGACGCAAAATTACTGGATTGGTATTCGTGAGCCCTTGCTACTACCGTATGCCAAAAATAATATCAAAATTTGAATAAATGAATATACCATGCCCAATTCAATATGACTCTTCAATAGTGGTGAAAATTGATTTATCAATTATAGCTTGGCAACGCCGCAACCGATTCCAATCTTTTTTACAGCGAAGTGAAGGTAAACTTTGGCGGAATAATTTCCAAATAAACAATACTGGGTGTTCCGTTCAAAAAAACTTGTCTCCGAGTTGTTCCGCTTTTATAAAACACCCAGTAATGTTGAAAATATTTTTTAAACAAGCAACTTTGGTAACTGAAAAAGTGTTTCCTTCAAAGTTTTTCTCTATAGGTCATGGCTTTCGAGATATCGAAGAATTACGCACTGAATGGACACACTGTACACTGAGTGTACAGTCCACACAAATGATGAGCATACTCTTATCTGAGACAATATAGCAGTCCAAGGGATCTCAATCGGAGAAATGGAAGAAAGTATTTTCAAGTTTTCTCATTTCAATGTTTCAAATAGAGAAAATGTTGAATAATATATATTTAATCAAAATTATGGTGATGCTCGAGACACATTTTCTTCAATCAAAATATTGAATTTTTAATATGATGGAATTGGCGAATGATCCAAATGGTATTTGATATGGTAAAATCCCATCGAATCAAAAGTATAATGATGCTTGATACAAAATTGAGAAAATTGTGGATAGTTTATGTTTCTATTAAGATTTTGATAATGCTTGATACCAGAATCGAATTTTTTTCATAACGTAATCTTGGAAAATTCAATTATAAGTGGATGATCTTACTGAGACAATGATTATGTTTGATACAAGGATCGACAATTTTTCCACAAGAAAATTTAAAAAAAATTTAAATTAAGTAGGTATGTAGGTATTCTCGGATGAAGCTAAAGAGTCGGAGGAATAAAAATATATCGAATGTAAAAACTTCACAAACGATTCTCGTCAGGTGATATGATACAATGAACTAAACTAACCACCACCACCACCACGCCCCCCGAAAGGTTGAATGCCCAGGATCAAGTGCCGCCATATAACTAGCTTACGTTATATGATAGCTCCTAGGTGGCCAGGTAGCCGTGCGGACAGAGTGTCTATATTCTAATTCGCATTCGCTTGCCGGTCGTGGGTTCGATCCCCGTCGACTGCAGAAATTTTTCTGATGGCCCAAGAAAGTGTTTGGGATCACACGTTAAAAGGTAAGGCCCCCGTCATTCCTTGCTCGCACAAGACTTTCGAAGACTTTTGAGGGTTGCTCGTAAGGGGGCAACTGAATGACGGATAGAACAAATTTTAGAACAACAAACAACAAAATCCCCATATCCATCCACCCTCACTCACTAACGAGTGGACTTCAACCTTATGCATTTGGCAATCTGCATATGTTTTATAAAACCCCTTACTTGGTTTCAGTCTTCCGACTTTTAAAACTTTTTGTCTAATGTGTTTCCTAGCCTGACTTTGCGTGGTGGTTCCCTACCCTAATGGGAAGCAAGTAAACTAACCTTGGCTTGCTTAACTTATATATCCTACTTCCCCAACCTGAAGGATTAATTGATTACTTAGCTGTGGGCAGGTTGGATAAACCTCAATTTTCGGAAATTGTAGGCACAATATCTACATTAAAATACAGTGTACCGGATTTACTTGAAAAGATTGATAGCATGGACGTATAAACAATACGTCCATGATTGATAGCAAATACATATTATTATCTACATAGGAAACAAATCTAACAGTGGTGAACTATTGAGGTCTAATTGATCGTTAAGTTAAATGTCTGAATTTTTTAGTTTGTTGATTTTTAATGATTCAAAATGATTGAGTTTTATTCCTTCATTTCCTACGTGTAGAATTTCGAAATTATCATCAAAACTTTGGTTTTCTTTCAATATATGGTTGACGTACCTATGTTGAATTTGTTTTCTTTTTGAAGAAATTCAACTCATGTTCATGAATGCGCTGATTGAACGTACGCCCTGTCTGACCGATATATACCTTAGGGCAAGATCCACAAGCGAAACATGTCGTGTGTTTGAGAATTTTGTGGAAATCTTATCGTTTGTGAAGTTTTCATATTTGCCATGGATTTCCATCAAGTAATGGCCGAGTCAATTGAAAAAAAATCATATACATCGACTCCAGAAGAGCGATATGCTTTTTTTCAGGAATATTTATTCAGATTTACAAAATCTATTATCATCAAACATAGTCATACTTGATGAATGAATATATATTCTCAAAATGAGGAAACCTTTTTGAATTAGGATTATGACCAAAACATCAGAAATTGACGGGTAATTTTTGAAAAATATTTGGTTCCATGGTGGATTCATGCAGCAGTTTTAAGTCTTAAGTTTTAAGTCGTAGGTTTCAAGTCCCAAGTTTTAAGTCGTACGGTGAAAATAGTGATTCATGCAGCAATAATAAGAAGCACCCCTATTCATTAGCTCATTTTGCTTATATGTCAGTTTTTTACATGTTTGAGTTAACACAGAATTGTTTTTTTTTTATCATTCAGCAGTTACAAATATCTGTTTTGGTTTTGATTTGATTGAAACAAAAGTAAACAAACCAAAATTACAAATGGCAGCGCACGGCTCAAGCGCGGAGCAAATTAGTCATAAGTTTCAAGTCGTAAGTCGTGAGAGATGAATGTTGGCCAACTTTTCTTACGACTTAAAACTTATGACAATTGTATGAACGTTTATATTAAAAAGCAATGAATGAACTTCTTAAGATTTATGACTTAATACTTACGACTTAAGCTGCAAATCCACCATTACAGTACGTACCCTTTGAGCTTTCCTCTTGTCTGCTCGTTGATTTTGATGGTATATCCTACTGAAATTCGAGACGATGACGGGTACTGGTAGAGCGATGACTAGCACGCCACTCAGCGAACAAACACCGCCAACTATTTTACCTGCTATCGTTGCAGGAACCATGTCTCCGTACCTAGAATGAGAACAAAAATATCCTTTTCTGAAACTCGACAAACTTGACAGCTATTTACTTAAAGAATACAAGAGAATACAGGTATCCCAAATTCTATAAATGTCGAAAAACTTCCTTTGTCATTGGTTTTTCATTTTCCCTTCATATTCTATAATAATTTTTCCTCAGTGTCGAATCTATTATTGAACGAATGTTTTCATTTTGCTCTATTCAACATCAAAACAACAGGGGTATATGGAGATTTGCATTAAATATCTTTTAAAAGTTGAAAAAATAATATACAGGGACAAAGAGGGTCAATATTTTTTTCAACAAGGCAATAAAAATTAACACATGGACAAATAAGGACAAAAAATCGCCTTCCTTATATTTTCCACAACTTGAGAAAATTAGCATAGCCACATAAAACTAACATGTTTTTCGTGCGAAAAATTTTAATCATTATAGCGAATGGGTGGTGCGATTCCGCGATTCCACTCTGGTTTGTTCTGTTCACATTGATTTTAGTCAGGGCCGGATTCAAGCATAGGTGACAGGCGCGCGCATAGGGGCCCGCACAACAACGAAAATTATAAAACAATTTCACTGGTCATGTTTTACGATAAACCATCCTTTTCAATTTTTCAACCAGTTTTTTTTTATCGCTTGGAGCGCACGAAAGGGAATCCCTATTATGTTCAGAGAACATCGTGCGTTCCTAGGGAGGATAGGGACAGGAGGTAGGTATTGGAGTTTTTTTTGAACTTTTGGAGATTATATGTTGTTGGGAATACTTATGAATATAAGAAAAATTTAAAAAAACATCGGTAACGAAAGGTGGATGTATGAACCAATGTAGGAGTGACCTTTCCTCAACGGTGACTATCAGAAAGATCATTCTGTAAGCTGAAGCTGATCAAGAGCAGACTCCAGGCCTCTATGTCGGAAGACAAGCTATAAACTTTTTGGACTTGCTCAGTATGGAACACGACATTCTGCGACAAGTCAGCCATGGGAATATCATTAACGCCTTCATTATGGACAAGCATAAACAGAAACTAACCAGCAAGAGTGACTGAAGTGAACACGATTAGCAGTACATTTAATATTTCAGATTTATTCCGCGAGGATCAATTCCAGCACCAAAACATTAATCTATGACCAAAACTATTTCTAATCCATATCAACAATTTGTTGGAAGCAATGCCATGTCCAGTTCACAGCTTCGCGGATGATAGTACCCTCCATACCGCCTTCTCTTCCAGGGCTCCAATTCCAGCCAGGCAAATGAGAAAAGAACGAGGGAGAGATGTTGACAACATATATATGGACTTGGCAACAATTCTCGAATGGGGATCCAATTACTTGGTTGATTTCAATGCAAACAAAGCACAAGCATGCCTTTTCACTAGGAAAGCCGATCTCACTATGACAAACATAAGCTTGTCAAGAGTAACCATACCTTTGAAGACATCCATTTCGATGCTTGGGATTATTATCAGCAATAACCTCTCTTGGGGAAATCACGTGAGATCAACTGATAGAAGTGCATCCCAAAAACTTGGTTTTTTGTTTCGGGCCATGCAGGAGCTATTTCACTTCCAGTCAGCTGCTTATGATCTATAAGGCACAGATCCAACCTGTACTGGAATATTTTTTCCATATTTGGAGTGCAGTACCCAATCATACCCTGAAACTGTTGGATTCTGTTCAAAAAGAGGGCAATTCGTCTTGTGGGTGATGCCTCGCTCACAAACTCACTCACTTCTCTGGGACACCGTAGAAAAGTTGGCGATCTGGCTCTATTTTATAATTTTTTTCATGGACGATGCTCTTCTGAAATATCAACAATTGTTCCTCCCTTGGCAGTCCCCACGAGATTAACTCGTCGAGTTGAGGCTTTGCACTCCTTCGTGGTTACTTTGGAAACCTGCAGAACATCTCTTTTCAAAGACTTGTTCATCCAAAGAACAGCGAGGCTCTGGAACACATTGCCAAGGGAGGTGTACCCCGGGGCATTTAACCTCCAGAAATTCAAGAAGAACACCAACTATTACCTTATTTCCCTTGGTTCTCACGATGTTGTCTGAACATTACAGGATATCCCTTTTCGTGGGAACCAGAACATGAAAAAAAAATGATCTGGTGAAGAGAAAAGTACATAATATTGACTTGGTCTTTTCCTGTTGACTAACCAATGTATATTGAAGTGTTGAAGTTATGTTCACTTTCGTGGCGTATCTTAACCGAAAATAATTTGTGTTACAAATCAACAATGTGAAAGTTTCCTTAAAAATCGCCATTTTGATCCTAATGTTTCCTTCTTTTTCGGGTGAGGGCTCCCAGCCTCATCCTTCCATTTGGGGTATGCCATATCCCCTGATGCCCCACGAGCCCCAGGGCCCGCACCACAGGTGGAGCCTAGGGCCTGTATTTTCTAAATCCGGCCCCAATTTCAGTTATGATTAGTGGTGCCCGCGAGAGTCTCGTTTTCTAGAGTCTCGCATGGTCTCGTCTCGTTTTCGAGGCAAGACTCGAGACGAGACTCGGACAAGGCGAGACGAGACTCTCATTGGTCTCGTCTCGAGTCTCGTGCAAGACTTCTCGTGTCTCGTGCGAGAGTCTCGCATGTAAATATTTCTGCGTGCCGACTGCAGACTTGAAAATTTCATTCATAATAAAACATATTCAGGAAAAATTCTATAAGAAAACATCAAAATCGCCTCAATAATGAATGTGCAGGATGTTTGTTATGTCTTAACGACTGGGTGGAAAACAAAAACATTTGCGATTGTGAAGGCTGATCTGACTGATAAAGGTTTTTTTCTCCAAGCGGCAGGAATAGTGGCTTTTTCATGCCGCTTAACAGGCAGAAAAGGTGTAATTTTACTGACTAGGCAGAAAAAGTTTGTTGCTATGCAACGTTCCAAGTAATTCTAGAGTTTTCAATAAAAAATCACACAAAATTGTTTTTATATCATTTGGAGGAAAAATTCTATGTTTCACACGACAGAAAATGTAGATTGACTTCTTTTCTGCCTAGTAAAACGAATAACTATTTTCTTAGATACCTATTTCTCAAATAAGTAAAATAATCTTGGATTAAAGTTTTTGTTTTGTTTATTTGTTTAGAATATACGTGTTACTTTTTATTTCATTTTTATAACTTTCGAATAAATATAATGCAATGTTTTTTTTTCTTGCTTAGATGTATGATGTAAGTATGTACCTATTAGATACTTACTTTTCCATAAACAATGTTATTTTTGTTGTAATTTTCTTTTTCTACTTCTACATTATACCTAGAAAGTAGGCGAAGGTAAATATCCCGTACTAGACTGGAACAAGATTATGCATCACGAAATTGCGATACTTTTGCGAGACTCTCGTACAAGACACGAGACAAGACGAGACTCGGGGCTGCGAGACGAGCCTCGAGACGAGACTTCATATTTTATCGGCGAGACGAGACGAGATTTTATAAAAGTCTCGTCTCGTTGGTCTCGTGTGAATCACTAGTTATGATTTGAATTCGAAATACAAAAAAATATTACAAAAGGTGTACACTTCTGATTTTTGCCAAAATTTCGAATTGGCAAACCTACCTACTGAACAAATTTTTCTCTATTCAAAATATCAACTTTATAAAGAAATTGAGTTTCAACTTTTTTGTCCCGCGGTACGAGTACGGGTGATGTCTCGCAGTGTTTGTCCAGGGGACATTACGTCTGGTACATTCATAGGTTGTGCTATTCGTGTCCCTGGAGTATCTAATATCCATTCACACATGAAACTTATATGTTTTTTCGTGCGAAAAATTCAAATCATTATAGCGAACGAATGGTGCGATTCCTCACTGATTTGTTCTGTTCATATTTATTTTTGTTATGATTTCAACTCGAAGAAAAGTGTTACTTCAAATAAGTATTGCAAAAGGTGTACCCTTGTGATTTTTTTTTGTCAAATTTACTTAACAAATGTTTTCTATTTTTCTCCATTCAAAATAACAACTTTATAGAGAAATTGAGTTTCACCTTTTTTGTCACGCGGTACGAGTACTGGGGATGTCTCGCAGTGTTTGTCCAGGGGACATTCCGTCTGATACATTCATAGTTTGTCCTAATCGTGTCCCTGGAATATCTGATATTCATTCACATCAGAGTCATTGGATTCCATCAAAATATTTATTGAAAATTCTGAGTTGAATTCGCTTTGAATGTCCGTTTATCTTCCAGAAAAGAATAATCTCAGATATTATTGAGTTGTGACCATTTCGCAGACAGGAATTGTAAATGCATAATGTCCTTCATTGAAATACCCAGGAATGATAAAAATTATACCAAAACCATAACAATGTTGTAATAACGTTTCAGTGGTTTTGGCCTGTTTAGCTTCGATGATGTGGCAACGATGTTAACGTTAACCTCACTTTTCAGTTTTCATTGAATCTTCGTTTGATTTCTAATCCAGATTCATTGGTGTTTGAATGACGATTGAAAAAAATTTATTTTTTCAGTTGAGAAAAATCAAATAAGTTGAGAATGATGTTGGTATTACAATGATCTTAATGAATTGAATGAACTCTCAATTGAATCAATGCATACAATAGTATTTTGTAACCAAAGACTTGCATTCCAATAAGATTATATCATTCCATTATGATATTATGTATATTATTATAATAGGTACATATAATTATGATAGATCCTATGGAGAAGGTGTAGTCTATAACACTGAGAAAAAACGAACATTGATGGGTAAATATAATGTAAGCAACTCAACAAATTGGTTGAGAATGATGACATGATCATCATACATGATCAAAAAATAATTTCGATCTGCCTAATGTTCGATTAACAGTATCTCAGAAATCTGCAGGTATACTTGGATTGCCATTATATAACATTCTTCCTGAAGAACTGAAATTGATAGAAAGAGTGCACACATTCAGAAAACAGATTGAAAAACTTCTCCTCGACATTTTCTCCTATAACGTGAATGAATTTGTTGATAGTTTAAGA